TGCTTGACTGCATTGTGCTAAGTGTAATGTTTGGTGGAGGGGGGATTATGGTGCGGGGTTTTTTATTCAGGGGTTGGGCTTGGCCCCCTAGTTCCATTGAAGGAAACTCTTAGGCCCCATGTACATGGGACACTTCTGAACGATGGAAACTAACTGCTGGAAAACGTAAGTTAAAAAAAGTCTGTTTAGCCACGTTAGCTTAATGTGTTTATGTGCGTTTGCGTTTAGAAGCGTTTTTTAAAGATAAGCACAGGAGAACCTCCCAAATGCCAAGAATGCACTGAAAAGTGGTAAATTATTAACTATTTCAGACTGTTTCAGAGAAATACAGAGAGTAGAAGCAGAGACAGCAGTATGTGCTGAGATTAGCTTAGGTGTGAGTTGCTCATTAACATATTGTTTGTTTCCAAGGGTGGGGAAGGTGTCTGGTGGAGGGAGTCATTAAGGCCACCTGACAGGGGGTCTTCATGAGGAATTTGAGGTGTGAATGGTCATTAACATATCTTTTGTTTCCAAGGGTAGGAGAGGTCTGAGGTGTGAATTGGTCATTACAATGTGTGACAAGCTTGGTAGGAACATCCTGTGTTCAGTGTTTTGTACCTTGAAAACGCTTTCCATGCATTTTTCATGATGAAAAAAGGTTCTGGACAGCATCGGGAACTGGAAGAGTTAAAAAAAAAATTTCAAACGCAAACGCTTATAAATGCGATTCGCCACTTTTAGTCGCGTTTTGCTTTGAAACGCTGATAAAATCGACTGCTGAACGCAAGTTTTCTGCGTTCGTTCAAAAAAAAAAACAACTGTAAACTCAACTGCCTGTAAACGAAGATGTGTACATGGACACATAGGATAACATTAGGGAGAGTTCAGGGGCTGCTGGAAAAAAACGCTGAACAGCTCCTAAACGTGAGTTTATCAGCTGCAGTGTACATGAGCCCTTAAGGCGTCAGCATACCAAGACATTTTGGACAATTTCATGCTCCCAACTTTGTAGGAACAGTTTGGAGATGGCCCCTTCCTGTTTCAACATGACTGCACACCAAAGCAAGGTCCATAAAGACATGGAGGAGCCAGTTTGGGGTGGAGGAAGTTGACTGTCCTGCACAGAGTCCTGACCTCAACCCAACAGAACACCTTTGGGATGAATTAGAGCACAGACTGTGAGCCAGGCCTCCTCCCCCGACATCACTGCCTGACCTCACAAATGTGCTTCTGGAAGAATGGTCCAACCTTCCCATAGACACCCTCCTAAACCTTGTGGACGGCCTTCCCAGAAGAGTTGAAGCTGTTATTGCTGAAAAGGGCGGGACCAACTCAATATTGAACCCGAACACTAGGATGCCATTAAAGTTCATGTGCGTGTAAAGGCAGGACGATCAATACTTTTGGCAATATAGTGTATAATTATAAAAAAAATGTATCTGAACCATAATGTGTATAACTGAAGCCATACACTCTAGGATCCAGTTGTACAATACCCTGGACATTCTGCCCTAGCTTCACCAACACCGTGCATAATACGAGTAATCCCAAACACACCTATCCAATATTGGTAAAGCTACAGCATGATTGGCTGAGAGAGGAAGGAATTGTTGAATATGACACTTTAAACATGACATACACACAAAAATCTTTATCATTAGAGGAACCAAGTACTGCATATTGCCTACCTAACTCCCTTACTCTCATTCTTATTTCCAAATTACACGATTGCATTTTTGTCCAACATTTCTATGCTTCTTAGAGAAACATTTTTTTGTTCTTTGCTAGGTCTGGGATGAGCTGGAGCGGAGCGATCTCGGCTGTACGCCAGGAGGCGGCATTGACAGTGCTGGGGTTTTTATTGATGCCGGACTTGCTGTTGAATCCAACCTTGGCCTTACCGGTCCAACTCGGAATGGTACATATCAGAGTGCTATGGGGGTGGAAACATTTATTATTATTATTATTATAATACAGGATTTATATATTATTATTATTATACAAGATTTATATATTATTATAATACAGGATTTATTTATTATTATTATACAGGATTTATATGGTGCCAACAGTTTGCTCAGCGCTTTACAATATAACGGGAGACAATACAGCAACAATACAGTTCAATACAAGACGGTTAGGAGGGCCCTGCTCCTTGGAGCTTACAATCTAGGAGGGAGGGGGCTAGTGGTACAAAAGGTAGTAACTGTGGGGGATGGACTGGTTGGAAGAGTAGAAGATTCCATTATTAGCTGAGGGCAGGATAGGCTTCCCTGAAGAGAGAGGTTTTCAGAGATCGCCTAAAAGTGAGCAGAGTAGGTAATAGTCTGATAAATTGCGGTAGAGAGTTCCAGAGAATGGGGGAAGCTCTGGAGAAGTCATGAAGGCGAGCATGGGAGGAGGGGACAAGGGAGCTAGAGAGTAGGAGGTCTTGCGAGGAGCGGAGAGTATGGCTTGGGTGATATTTGGAGACAAGATCATTGATGTAACTTGGGACAGAGTTATAAATGGATTTATATGTTATTGTTAATGTTTTGAATTTTATCCGTTGGGCAATGGAAGCCAGTGGAGGGATTGGCAGAGAGGGATGGAGGACACTGAGTGGAGACCAGTGGAGGGATTGGCAGAGAGGGTGGAGGACACTGAGTGGAGACCAGTGGAGGGATTGGCAGAGAGGGATGGAGGACAGGGAGTGGAGGGATTGTCAGAGAGGGGTGGCAGATACAGAACGGTTAGGAAGGTGGATCAGTCTGGCAGCAGCATTCATGATAGACTGAAGAGGGGATAGCCTGCGATGAGGTAGGCCAATGAGGAGGGAGTTACAATAGTCAAGGTGAGATATAACCAGGGAGGGAATAAGTTGCTTAGTGGTTTCCGAGGTTAGGAACAGCCGTATCTTGGAGATGTTGCGGAGGTGAAGTCTACAAGATTTGGACAGCGATTGGATTTGGGACTGAAAGGACAGATGTATATGTGCTATGCGTATATATTTAAAATGTAAAATGAGTAGGTATTACAGCTGAACTCCAGCCAAAACCTTTCATAGTTAGTTGTCTAGGTAAATATACAAGGGCAGTACTGAAAGTAATGCAAAAGTGGCCATAACTTTTATATTAACTTACACGGGCCATTAAACTGTCTTCCCCCTTGGCTAATACAAGGGCTGAGCTGTAAGTAATACAAAATTGAGCACACCATTTTTTTAAACCATCTGCCAACTACGCTGTAGTGATAGTATGGCTACAGCATGGCCGTCCAGTTCTGGGAGAGCATCCATGGATGTTCTCCCAGAACAGTGCCCCTCCTTTGGATACAGCTGATCACAGATTGGGGTACAGGGCTAATCACAGTGGTCCTTTACCATGTGATCAACTGTGCCCAATCACAGCTGATTGTATGTAAACAGACTTGCCGGTTATCGGCAGAGGTTTGCTCACATGCTGTGTCTGTGTGAGGAAAGGAGAGTCGATATCCGGCATGGCTATCAATACATTGTTTACACGGATAATCAGGGCACTGATCATCAGAGCCTTAATTATTAGTGCAGCCCCATCAGTGCCAATCAGTGAAGCTTATCAGTGCCCATCTGTGCCGTCTCATCAGTGAAGCTACATCAGTGCAGCCTCATCAGTGCCCATTAGTGCAGCCTCATCAGTGCCTATCATTGCAGCCTCATCAGTGCCCATCATTGCAGCCTCATCAGTGCCCATTAGTGCAGCCTCATCAGTGCCCATTAGTGCAGCCTCATCAGTGCCCATTAGTGCAGCCTCATCAGTGCCCATTAGTGCTGCCTCATCAGTGCCCATTAGTGCTGCCTCATCAGTGCCCATTAGTGCAGCCTTATCAGTGCCCATCATTGCAGCCTCATCAGTGCCCATTAGTGCAGCCTCATCAGTGCCTATCATTGCAGCCTCATCAGTGCCCATCATTGCAGCCTCATCAGTGCCCATCATTGCAGCCTCATCAGTGCCCATTAGTGCTGCCTCATCAGTGCCCATTAGTGCTGCCTCATCAGTGCCCATTAGTGCTGCCTCATCAGTGCCCATTAGTGCAGCCTTATCAGTGCCCATCATTGCAGCCTCATCAGTGCCCATTAGTGCAGCCTCATCAGTGCCCATTAGTGCAGCCTCATCAGTGCCCATTAGTGCAACCTCATCAGTGCCCATTAGTGCAACCTCATCAGTGCCCATCATTGCAGCCTCATCAGCACACATGAGTGAACAAGAAAAATTACTTATTTCCAAATGTTATAACAGAAACTAAAAAAAACTTTTTTTTTTTCCAAATTTTCGTTTTTTTTTTTTGTTTATTTAGCAAAAAATAAAAAATCTCAGTGATGAATAAATACCACCAAAATAAAGTTTTATCTGTCTCAAAAAAATGATAAATATTTCATATGGTACAGTGTTGCATAACTGCGCAATCGTCATCAGCACTGAAAGCTGAAAATTGGCCTGGGCATGAAGGCGGTGAAAGTGCTCGGTATTGAAGTGGTTAACCACTTCCAGTCCGGACACTTTCACCCCCTTCCTGTCCAGGCCAATTTCCAGCTTTCAGCACTGTCACACTTTGAATGACAATTGCGCGGTCATGCAACACTGTACCCATATGAATTTGTTAGCATTTTTTGAGACAGATAAAACTTTATTTTGGTGGTATTTATTCACCACTGGGATTTTATTTTCCTTGCTATATAAATGAAAAAGTCCCAAAATTTTGAAAAAAAGCTTTTTTCTTATAACATTTTGCAAATAAATAATCTTTCTTCATAAGTCTTGGCCAAAATGTATTCAGTTTTCTTTTTAGTAAAAAAAAAAAAACCCAAATTTTTTTATAACCCAAAATTATAATTTAAAAAAAAAAATGTTTACATTTTTTTTTTTTTATTATTATTATTATTATTATTATTATTATTTTTAACATACTGTCACCCTAGCATAGTGACACTGTACTACTTGTAGGGGTTATGAAGATTTTATTTTTTTAAAGATTGCTTTTACACCCATAAAGGCTACAAAAGCAATCATTTCTCCTTCTCTCTGGCTGCATTCCATTGAGAAATACTGTGAGCTGTGATTGGTCAAAGCTTGTCACATGGTACAAGGCTGTTGTGAATAGCCTTGTACCATGTGACCTCTGTGATCATTCACAGATTTCACAAGTAGTAAGCAATGATGTCAGAAGTAACATCTTGCTTACTACTATTCATGTGATCACTGATTGGCCTGAGGTTCCGTACAGCGATCGGTGTTTCGCTGTGTCCTCCGGACACAGCAGGCACCGGATCGCAGTGCTGCGCACTCACAGGGAGCACGCACAGTCCAAAATGGCAAGCGCCATTTATGAACGGTAACCTGCCCCTGTACTGCCCCTGTTTATATACATGGGTTGGACGGGAGGTGGTTAACTTACATAGGTTGTTCAAATTTCTCATGTTGGTGGAGGTGATTGTAGCCATATTAGTGCATTTGCAACAGAAACAATTGAGTACTGTCAGTGATACTTTTTTTATTTGCACTGACATACAATTTTGAGGACAAGCTTTCGGGGTATGTCCCCTTCTTCAAAGTCCAAACAGTACTTTTACAAATCACAAAGTTTAAGCAGAATGTTAGAAGGGATTGAGAAAAAAAAAAGGCAGTGCAGAAAATGCAGCAAAGGATCTTATGTTGGCGAAACAGGATAGAAGTTGCAAACAAGGATGAATTTGCACAGACATACCATCAAGGAACATAAAGAAGATGACCTCTGCACACCTGTAGGACACCATTTCACACAACCAGATCACACAATGGGAGACCTCAATGTTTTGGTTCTGAAAGGAAAATTCAAATCTATCCAGGAAAGAAAAACATTTGAACTAAGAATGATAATTCTATTTGACACAAAAGATAACGGCCTTAACTTGGACATGGGATTCCTCAATCATTATCCGACAATTTCATGACTATCTATTAGCTGAAGCTTGACCCCCTCTGTGTGAGTGTAGTATCCCCCCCTCGCTTTTGATGTATCTTATCTGTAGCCTTTTTTTTTTTTTTCTCAATCCCTTCTAACATTCTGCTTAAACTTTGTGATTTGTAATAGTACTGTTTGGACTTTGAAGAAGGTGACATACCCCGAAAGCTTGTCCTCAAAATTGTATGTTAGTGCAAATAAAAAAAGTATCACTGACAGTACTCAATTGTTTCTGTCGCAAATGCACTAATATGGCTACAATCACCTCCACCAACATGAGAAATTTGAACAACCAATGTAAGTTAACCCCTTCCGTCCAGCCCATGTATATAAACAGGGGCAGTACAGGGGCAGGTTACCGTTCATAAATGGCGCCTGCCATTTTGGACTGTGCGTGCTCCCTGTGAGTGCGCGGCACTGCGATCCGGTGTTGGTGGAGTAAGTCTTCCTCCATAATAGTTCTTCTTTTTCATTCCAGGTAAATAATGGATTCCAAGCAGAAGCAATGTGCTGTCACTGAGTTCCTGATGGAGTGGTGCAGACTATCCGACATGCACAGAAGGCTACAGAATGTTTACAATTTGTAATGTCTTGTCATTGGTGACTCTTGTCAATGGTGTCATCTCTGTAAACATTCTGTAGCCTTGTGTGGATGTTGGACAGCCTGCACCCTTCCTTCATCAGGAACTCAATCACAGGCTGTTGATTCTGCTTGGAAGTCATTATTTACCTGCAATGAAAAAAGAGGAAGAGTTACAATAGAGGAAGAGTTTTTCTCTACCGACATTTGAAATTGTAGCAACCTATGTAAGTTAATAAATAAGGTATGCCCACTTTTGCACCGCATTTGGTATAGCCCTCATACAGTATTATGGAAAATGGGAAAATGATTTTATGACTTCTGAATGAAACGTGTAAGTAAACTAAAATCACACTGGGATATAGAAGTTTTCACATCTGCAATTGTCCATTTGGAACTATCATCGTCACCTGACATATTTTACCACCTTGTCACCCTATTTTGGATATATATATACCTGTATTGCAATTGGGCGGTTATCTGATATACTTCAGAGTCACCCCCATACATATCATCTAATATTAAGTTGTCACCTGACTTTTATGCTTTTATAGAGGTATCTTATAATATGATGTTTTAACACTGTATCAGTATATTCGTTGTTTCTAGCGCTGCACTTTTTTATCTTTATTACTTATTGAGAAGGTTTGTGGTTCCTTTTTGGTGCAATAGCTGCTATCGTAAGTGCTCGCTAATTTTTTATCTTTTCTATTTAAACCAAAATCAATGTATTTATCAAAATGATTTGTTTTTTGGTGACTGCCTATAATGGTCTGTCTACATTTTGCAGAATTGCGCTGTGAGGAGACAGCAAGAAAGAGGCGCTCTGCGGCTAATGTTGCAAGGAAAAATGAAAAAGGTATTTATTTGAATATAGTGGTCCACAGTATGTCCAGCCAGATGTCTGCTAAGCAACAGACATAAAGTGTTGAGCAGGCTCGGACTGGGACAAAAAAATAGACCCGGGCATTTTAGACTAAGCAGCCCCAAGCCAGAGACCCTTTCCTTGGAGTCTGGTGGTGGAACTCCAGAGAGAGAGAGAGAAAGAAGAAAGAAAGAGAGAGAGAGAGAGAGAAAGAAAGAGCTTTCTCTCTCCTCTCCCGTCTGTGGTGGGGTTGGTGGGGGAACTATTAGCACTGGGGACAGTCTATCTTGACAGATCCCCCACAGCAACTGCAGGGAGGGGGGACCCAATGGCAGCACTACAGGAGATGAGGGAGGCCAGCCGTGGGGGGGGGGAGCATACAGGAGCCCACCGCAGCAGGAGATGAGGGGGGGTGGCCACGGGGGGATCATACAGAAGAGGGGGGGCGGCCAGGCAGCACATAGAGTAACTGGACCATGCATTTCTCTCCTGCCACCAGCAGCCGAGAAGCAGGCATTCAGTGGCGGCAGGGGAGAAATGCACGGTCCGGTTCCTCTATGTGCCGCCCAGCTGCCTCTCCTATCCAGGCAACCCTGGCCCACTGGGCAAATGCCCGGTGTACCCTATGGCCATTCCAGACCTGGTGTTGAGTTTAGAAACCAGGGTATATACTTTATTCTCTGCACTTCACTGCTTGGCAGATGGTTGACTGTGCTGCAGAGGTGGGTATGGGCGTCACCAGTTCCATGCTCTTGTTACTACTTAGCACGCAGCTAGCATGTTTCCAGGCATCCTGTAAAGTTTGCAAAATTTTATATAAAAAATCCAATTTATTAATCAATAGGGTGGTTTTACTGTTTTACAGCAGTTGTGAAGCAAGCCTCTGCTGCAGAGAAACAAATGAGTGGGAAATAAGTTGGCATTTTGTTTGGTAACAGAACATCTGTTTGGGCAAAGCAGAACTGGTGTGATTTTTTTATGCACGAATAGTTTTGGTGCATTGCTTTATGGCACCAGAATTTAGAATGGTTGCTACGATGCTAAAGTTGATATTCAGAAAGCCTGAGGTATGGTTTGTGGGTTATTTAGTACAGGAATTGATGTTAGTTTGGGCAGGGGTAGAACAAACCCAAAGACTAATATAGCACCCTCCTAGATAGCTAGGGGGAGCTGTAGCTCAATTGTTAGTCAGGAGGGCTGAGCCTGGGTGCAATAGTTAGCATTGTCAAATTGTGGTCAGAACTGAGAGGCTCTGCAGGCCAGTCCTCTGGAATTTCCCCAATTCTAGAACTTTGGAGCAAGGTCTAGAAGCAGTAGGCGGATCTGAGGATCTGAGGTCTGTACTCTTAGAGGATCCTGCCCAATCCCCAAAAGGTAGCTTGGCAGGGGCCAGGACAATCTTTAAGAGTAACTGAGCCTGCTCAGCTGCAGGAGAGTACAGGTGGAAGAGAGAGAATGTGAGACTGAAGGCAGGAGCCTGTGAGGGGGCCCAGATGGAGATGGGCTCACCTGCAGGCAGAGACCCTGGGAGGGAAGAAAACTTGGGACTTCACGGGTCCCTGAGGGAAGACCACCTGTGATGCAGGGAAGGAGCAGCCAAGCTAGAAGGTCTGGTAGCAGCCACTGACCAACCAGCAGCACAGGAGAAGGACTGAGTGAGTATACCTTCACCCCCTGAGCCAGATAGGGGAAGGAGCACTCTAGTGGGAAACCAGATTAGCTACCATCCAGGACTGTCTTATTGTTTTTTTAAAGTGACAGGCACTGGATCCCCTGCTCAGATTCCTCCAGGCAGCCAGATAGAGGAGAGTCTGGGGTCTGAGTGGTACACCAGGAGAGGCTGGCTAGCTCTCCAGAAGAGGATATTTTACTGTACAGACTTGTAAATAGTTTCAGGAAGTTTGTCCTCAGTTCCAGTTCCATTGGGTATCATATACACCCTTTACCCCATCCAAGTTTTATTATCCCCTAATAAAACATCAACACCATCTCAAGAACTGGTAACTGTCTCCTGGATGCAAGCCTGAATGGAAAATGTGTGTTGAGTGGCTGTGAAGGACTATAAGGGGACCCAAGTTTCTTGAAACTCCTAAGGTGGGGGTGGGGGTAGTGCTACACTAATATACCCTCCAAACTGCTCCTTATCATCATAAATGTAAAAAAATAAGAGTGTTGCCTGCATTCTCCCCCACTGGGGTCCAGCATTGTCATATAATGATGAATATAATTAGAATATTTTGTTTGTAAAACCAGCACAACAGTTCCAGGATGCCAATCTACGTAAGTGTTGTGAAGATGGCATGAAGGAAAACATCATGAAATATTCCTGCCAGAAACGATCAGAATATGTCCTGCAGCAAGGAAGGTGTGTCGAGGTTTTTCTTGAGTGCTGCAAGTTCATCTTTGAACCACAAATAATCCGGGGAAGGCCTAAGGGTCCAAAGTTTGCAAGGCCCGAAATCTGTAAGTACCACTGCCTGAATGGTTAAACCCATCTCCTACAGTTACAGAACCAACGTGTAACCTGAGGTTTAAAAGGAAACTATGGTTTCAGGTCAATATTATATATTTTTTAAGTAAACCCTAATCAAATATCATTGTGTTTGCTATAGCACTGTGTATCTTAAACAACTGCCATGTATTTTATATATTTTTCTTTCTGTCTGTACACACTCCAGTGATGGCTGCATGGCATTTTGTGTTTTCTGATGGTGACAACAACGGAACATGTCTTTGCATAAGCACAGCTGTGTGCAGCCTCCACTAGAAGAGTGTGGGGCACCCTAAAATGCATAAAATAGGGCTACAAGCCTCAATCAGGTCTAGAGTCTCCCCATAACCTTACTAAACCCACATAATTGTCCCCAACACCATCTTCATTGTGGGGACTGCTGTATGTAGACCTAAATGTATT